TGTAAGGCCAGGTGCACAAGCCTACTCTCAGTTTGGGAGGCATTCCTCAGAGATGGTGCAAATAAACCAACTCCACTCAAGTCACTGACCGGAGGAGCGAGCTGGACGAAGCATCCCAGGATCCCTCCTGCCAGGAAGGCGGTTGTACCACTTTATGGCTGAATTCTCATATCAGAATGTTTTGGGAATCTGTCACCTCCTACTGAACTTGTAGATTTAAAGTCTAGCATTTTGTCACACATCTATCAGCACAGCGCCACAGCCTGTGGGGCTTTATCCTGGAAACTTGACTGGGGCGATGAAGGAATGGAAAAAGAGCAGACACACAGACACACCTGCAGAAAAGCTGAGATCAGATGGGATGTGCTTGCTCTGATGGAGCATACCTACTGTGCAAGAGAAGCCGGGAACTTCAGCGCTTTGATCATGTACAATGCACAAGGAGGGGCTAGCTAGCCTTCGTAAGAAGTCTCTGTAGGCAAGCAATCCAATTGTCATCTTCCAGGAAGAGGAAGCTACAGTTGCTGGGTTTTGCACACATTGCCAAAATTCCCACTCAGACTACAGGAAGGCTCTGCTGTCCCTCTGCACCTCACCATGGGGAAAGGCTTGGCCACTCCCATGGGGCTGAGGCACTGGTGTCCATGACAGACTTCATCAACTCTTTGAAACACTCAGGGCTTTCTTGGCTCTCCACAGCCTAGGGTTACCCTGCTCACAGCCATTGGTTAAGACTCGTCTAGTTAGCAAAAATGAGAGAGAGGGAGCAGTCTTGGCATTTGGGATGAGGGATCAGAGCATCTTTGTTCAAGTGACCTTCTTTACCTTACCATGGCTTTAGGGAAGAGCCTTGAGCTTGACTTGAGTTATAGGATTATTGTTTACCCCGAGACAGCACTATCCAGCCCCTCACATGCGAGCTCAGCTCCCCTGTGTTCTACCTGGAGGTTGGTGTGGGTGGATTGTGGGGGAGAGAATACCCAATATTTTTGTCCCCAAGAAGAAAGCACTTGGTCCTACCTATACACCCCCTTGATGGCTTCAAAAACTTTTTACAGATTCAGAGGAGCCCCAGCTCCATCCCAGCCTGAACAAGTGAGCCCTTTGACACAGGTTCAGGGCACACACTTGGTCTTATATGTCTTGCATTTTCTTTATCTCTTTGTCTTGTTCACATCTGTATACCTTCATCCGATCTGAATTCCTCTAGAGGGCTGAATGCTACAGATATGTCCAGCCAGGTAGCTTAGCTCCCTCCCACTCTAACAGGATGCTCTCAGCTTTCAGGGGCCTTCCCTCCCTTCCTGTGGGTTGATCTCATGCCCCACCCATTCGGTTAGAATGCCAGAATAAATAGTGATGACTATAACTTTCTGAAGGATCTGAAGCTGGTTTGGGTCAGTGTTTTGTCACAGCAAAGGGGAAACAAACTAGAAGATTGTCTCCTATAAATGTGGGTGTTTGAGGATCCTTACTTTTAAAGAGTTTTATTGGTCAGTTCCTCGAGAAGGCGTCAAGTTCACTTTATTGTAAAGCACAGGGAGTTGAGCCTCAGCTTATTCCTGGCCAAGCACAAATTCTTTGGAAAATCCAGCAGAGCAGCCACTCACCAAACAGCAGCAGGGCGTAACTGCAAAGACTCCGACAGTGACGCTTACACATGCTGGGCGTTTCTATTAAGGAAAAAAATATTTGTCCTGACAGTTTCTCTCTGCAAACCTTTCAAAGGACTTAGAGATTTTCCTATGCTAAAGTTTCTTTTAGAAAATCTTATAATGAGAGGAGGAAACAAGCCTAAAGAACAAAAATAAAAAACAAAGGCATAAATAATCCCAGTATGGGTTTCTAGTGTGAGGGTTTCTCACAGTGAGTCCACTGGACGTGTTACACATGCTATGGAATATTCATCTTGTCTCTCAGTGATAGCTGTCTTTGCGTTTGGCGTTACCACACCTTGGAGGTTATCAGGAATGCCAGTTGTGTGAAGTGAACATAACTGACAGGGTTGAAAGGCTAAAGCTACCCTTTCTAATCCATCGAGTCCCTGCTCCCTGCCTCAGGCTGTGCCTCTTCTGCCAGTCTGTCCACCACTCTTGCTACTGTGATGGGAGATACACTCATTTCCTCATGCCAGTCAAAGACCCTTCCTTGAGGATTTGCAGAAATTTAAATATCTCTTCTGACCAGAAGAAGAAAGAGCTGTTAAAAAAAACTCCCAGAATGAGATGAGTATTTGCAGTTTTGACCCCTGTGCTTAATTTTTTTCACATCTTTACTTCAATGGTAGAGAAATACAGCTACAGCTCTTTTTCTTCTTGTCCTCCATCAGATCAATTAATAAAATAAATCTTGAGACAAGCATGTGTGTAGGAATCAATTATTTATCCAGATTTGTAATTAGATAAGCACCATTTCAAGACACATTTCTTCCCTTCTGGAGCTTGTATCTTTATGTGTAGAGAAACAGAAAACAATCTAATAAATGTGCAATTATGTCAAAAGACTGTAAGTGCTATGGATAATACAGCCAAGATTGGAAATGATAGGTATTTTGGAGTGATGTGCTGTTTCACAGAGAATGATCAGGGCAAGCATCTCTGACAGTGTTGTTCTGTACACACCAAAGAATGAGCGGTAGCCTGATAGCCATGTTTCCACTTTGATGAGTGAGTTTGTTAAGTGTATAGTAAGCCAAAGTATAAGTCGCAAGTAATAGATTTGGAGAGAGGACAACAAAACTGGACTAATGCCAATATTCAGTTCATAGATGGGAGAGGAGCTCAAGGGTCCAGGATCCTCCCCAGAAAGCCATTAGCAGTTAATAGCTTCTGGGGAGGGGAGTTGTAGTCTTCAATGGTATAGCATCTGATGCGTTACACATGCTTTGGTGGATAGCTCAATGGCCATGCCTGTGCAGGAAGCTCTGGTTAAACTCAGTGGCTCATAGAACAAACAACAACAAAATGACTTGACAGTGGGAAGAGGACTTGTCTGGAGGAGGGGAGGGGAGTTTGGTGGGGAAGTGGCAGTAGAGAGGACTGGGTGGTGAGTGTGACCTGGACACATTATATATGTATAGAAAATTATCAAAGAATAGTTTTATTTTTTAAAAAAGGAGAACGACTCTGGGATTTTCTAAATAACTGCTATATTTTTTGCTGAGATAGAGGGATTATAAAAGGAGTGGGGTGGTGAGTGGTAGTAGGATCAAGCGTCTAGCCTGTGGCATGCTTAGGGTTTGAGCTGCCCTTTAGACAGCTAAGAGCCATGTTGAGGTGGTAGTTGGATGCCAGGCTCTACCCGGCTTGAGGGATTGACCTAACTGGAGCAGAAAGGGAATGAAGAAAAGGCAGACACACAGACATGTCAAGAAAAGGTGGGATACAGTGGGCTGAGCTCACTCTGATGGAAGGTACCAATTTTGACAGTAGGTCAGAATCTCAGTTCCAGCAGAAGACCAAAAGATGGGATGGAAGGAACCAAGCTGATACCTTGAGGAAGGATGATCCATGTAGAGATGATCCAGAAGACTGATTTGGTTGGTGATACGATAGAGGAGGCAGATTTCTTTTATACATCAAAAGGTGGACATCTCTGTAGAGGAGCACACTCAGATTGCAGTTATCCCAGAGAAGGAAACTATGGTTGATAGTTTTTACACACACTGGTCAATTGTTCATTAACACTTGTACTTGGACCACAGGAGGGCTTTGCCATGTCTCCGAGTCTCGCCTGGGGAAGGCTTTGCCTCTCCCACGGGTCTGAGACATTGCTGTCTTTGACACTGACCCATGTCAACGATACACATTCACTCAGGACTTCATCCATTTCCCATAGTTGTGAATGAGGGTATGGAATATGGAGGTGGGGAACAGATTTGGGTGCCATCAGCATATAAATATCATTAAAGCCACGTGATTACAGGGTGAGCAGAGAGAGAAGGAAAAGGTCTTCGGGCCAAGCTGTGGTCATTTCCAAAGGCACATAGACTGGGAATGAAAATGGTTTCTGAGGAAAAAGAAAATCAAGAAAGAATGTTGACCCAGAGACAAGAGATGGATGGCCTCATTTATAGAAAGAGTGGACTCACTAGCTGCTTCCATGTGGACAGGGCAGTGAAATGCCAGTGGGTTTGGGGACATAGGTGTCCAGGGGCCAGACTGGGAATGACTGGGCTGAGGAAGATGGCTGTGACAGCACTAAAGGCCTCTTTATACATTCAGTCACATGTTGGAGTGAATTTCCTCAGCATGGTGTGTGTCTTTCTCTGGCCTTTTTCAGTGGGCTGGTAGCAGCAGTCCAATAGTTGGGCTTAACCAGCAAGTAGATAATTGATATCACCAGGGACTTGAGCTGTTCTCTGTCCTGGTGAGGCTCGCTGTTTCATGAAAATGATAGTTGCATTGTAAAAAAGAGGACTAGAGAAGCCAAACTTAAAAATGAAAAGAATGAAAGTTTGTGCTTGTAAGTAGAATAATACGTATATAATACCACCCACTCTCACAATACCCAACAATACCCACCCACTCTCACAATACCCACCCACTCCCTGTAGCCAGAGGAGATGCAAGTGCCCTGCTGCCCTAAAACACCTGCTCACTAAACTGTGATGAACTGAAGAGTCTGAAATACACTTTGAAAAATTGGAACTGATTCATTTTGCAATTAATGACCATGTTACAAAATGAATGTTAAGAGGCTACTGTGTTCTTTGAAGATGTTCATATTTTCTTACAAAAATACAGGAGCTAAGCAGAGTTTGGGGTGTAGGAAAAGCTGTTGGCCCATGTAAAAATCAAAGAAAGGCTCCTGTTTGAGAGGGGGCATCTTGTGATAATTAGAGTACAAGAAAGAAACTGACTTCCATAGCCACAGTTTGAGTTCAAGTAAGTGTGTAGAGTAGCAGTTTAAATACAGTGTGGTGCATTTATACATTAAGCAGTACCATGTCCATTTTTGGTGTAGCTGATTGCTTTCTCTTTATCAAAAAACAAAAACAGATTTTGTTGGAGCCAGGAGTGATCCAGGATGTGTTAGCAGCTGGCAGTCACCTACAGCTGTTGGAGCTTCTCAATTTGTGTTCCCACTATCTCATCCAGGTATGTGTGCTTGCATCTACTAATTGCCCTTCACATTCCCTTGCCCTGCAGTTGTGAACCGTCCCCTACCAACTGAGGCCCAATGATAGAAAAAGTACACTCGTGTGTGTGTGTGTGTGTGTGTGTGTGTGTGTGTGTGTGTGTGTGTGTACCCTGTGCTAGTAGTTTCTTGAGGACACAGGTAAGACGATCCAGGAAGACAGCTGTGGCTCCTGTATCCTCTCATGGCCATGCATATGTCATCTTTCCTCTCTGCCCACTCCAGGGGCCCACTGTCCTCAGGCAGCAGACTGACTCAGTACCCACGCATAGGCCTCCCACAGGGTCTCAGCACCCATTCACAGGCCTCCCACAGGGTCTCAGCATCCATTCACAGGCCTCCCACAGGGTCTCAGTACCCATTCACAGGCCTCCCACAGGATCTCAGCATCCATTCACAGGCCTCCCACAGGGTCTCAGCATCCATTCACAGGCCTCCCCATAGGGTTCTAGGAAGATAAGGGGTCCTAGTTTATAGGAATACTACTTGTGGAAATGACCACAAATGCAAGAAAAATTGAACACCCATTAAAGATGCATAACAGTAGTTAATGGGCCACAGAGTCACATAGAATTAATAATCCTATGAACTTCCAAGGTGGTAAAGATTGGCAAACACGTGAGTGAGCTGTGCATCCTTCTCCTGACTTGCTGGATAGTTAGGAATGGCTCTGTGAGAGAGATGGAAAGAAAATCACACACACTATGCTGTTGTGTATTTGCAAGTGTTTTTACATTCATTCTTCACAATAAATTTACACATTAAAAAAGTGTCAGAGATTCACAATGAACCCAGCTTGCTTGATGCAATGTGGCTGCTGGGGGTGGTAGAGCTTTCTAATTCCAACAACAATAACAACAACAACAACAACATAATCATTAGGTAAGATGTTGAACGGCTATAGAAGCTTCATGGCTCTGAGAGTTTTATTTTATAGTTAAGATTACATTTAATTAGAATAATTTATTTATTGTTAATGTATTATTTATTATTATTATATGGACCTGATGTCTTTGGCAAGGCTAATATTCTGGCCTTCTTGTCACCTCTCTCTCTCTCTCTCTCTCTCTCTCTCTCTCTCTCTCTGTATTTGCGTGTGTGCCTATGTCTGTGTGTCTGTGTGAATGTGTGAGTATACATGCTCACATGCACACACAGCAAGTGTGTGTAGAGGTTAGACGACAGCCTGTGAATGTCACTTCTTTCCTCCCACCATGTATGTCCTAGGGCACGAGTTTAGGTCATTAGACTTAGCAGCATACGTTTACCCACTGAATCATATTTCAGCCCTAAGTATTAATTTATATTTTAGGATTTTCCCATTTGTTCCATGGTCTCACTTTCCCTTGCATTTATTACAATACAATGAAAGGTAATTAAAATAATGAACCTACACACTTTTATTCTAGTATCTTTGTGCATATTAGTAGAAGAAAAAAATCTTATATTCCTACCCAATCACTTTTTTAACCTTTATAATCATTTTCCCTAATTCTAAATTTGTCTAAATGTGCTGTAAATGGGTCCTATATCATTCTCCTCTGCTACCCATTATGGAATTGTCAAAGCTTTTTCACATTTGACATCTTTTTTATGTTGTTTTTTTTTTTTTTTCTTGACAAACCTGGGAAACAGGACCCAGAACTTCCCAAGATGACAGTGTGGGGAATATCAGCCATGTTTACCTAAGAAAGAATACAGAATATGAAATTTTCATCATTATCTTGACACATTTAACCTACCAGTAAATGTTTAACATTTTTATCTGGTTTTCTTTCCTTTTCTTCTCAATAGTTTTGGGTGGTATGGGAGAGCTATTTCTAAATCCATTCTGCTAGTAGTCAATGGGAATCATCAAGGAAGGTTACGAGATTTCAGAAGTGTGTGGTTGGCTTTGAAATTGAAATTATTCCTATTTGACATTTCTACATCAAATACTACTACTTGAGCTTTTGAAGCACAACTGGATTTACTTTCCTATGGCAGATAACACTCAGTGACACACAGACAGACATTTAGTTAGAGGAGTATAACTGTGGAGGATTGTAGATAGGCCTATATCATCACGCCTATTGTAAACAGTGTGTATATATTTATATCTGTTTTTATAGATGAGTATTCCAGATGAACACTGGAAGTCCATGTGCATTTCTCCTGCCCTATCAGATCAACTTGTTGAGACCTAAGTAGCTGTGCACTTTGCAGCTGAACTTCCATTTAGTTCATGCAAGTCAAGGTGCGGTTTGAATGAAGTCATGTTCTTCGAACAGTTATTACTCAGGCTTTTCAAGGATGGTTGAAACTCAGTTTTCACAGATGCTGTTCTTTCCTTCTATTGTGACCTCTGCCTTATTATCAGTGACTGTTGCAAGATGTTGAACTCACAAAAGGAAACTGACTGGACGGGGACCAAGTCCTATATAGAAACACCAGTACCTCACTCTTTCCAATACAGATGTTGTTCTCTCGGGGTAAAGGCTCCAGATTGGGTCAACCAGATTTCATGTTATATTATTTTAATGTAGCCTTATATAGTTTCACTCATTGGCAGTATTGCTCAACTGATTTTAAATGTCATAGAGAATCATGTAGATGAATTTCTAAACAGTCTTATTAAATAAGAAACATGGAGCCAAATACAGAGGTGCAAGCTGTAGCGATCAGAGCAATAGCCACCAACTAACCTTAGCTCACCATGTCACTGTAGCTTCCCAAGAGAACCGAACCCACAACCCTGAGATTAAGAGTCTCATGTTCAAAAAAAAAAAAAAAAAAAAAGAGTCTCATGTTCTACCGACTGAGACAAAGGAACAAGCCACTAGATTAAACGTAGATGCCAGGCAGTGGTGGCACACACCTTTAATCCCAGCACTTGGGAATCACGCGCATTTAGAATCATTTAGTTGAATATATAACAAGGGTTAGGTTGTTTGGTAAATGAAAATTCCCCAATGCTTAAAATGTACAAAGAAGTTGTGGTCTGTTGCCAATGCTACTGTGTTTGCCATCCTTGTTAGAGCCTTTGTCCAACTGGGCTGTGAACAAGTATTGCCACTACGATGTCTATTATTTTGCTGTTCTTACATTTCTCTTGTTTCTTTCATGAAAGACAGATGACTCTTCTAGGAGCCTGTTTTGATTTTGTTTGTTTTTTATCTAGTTCTTATTTTAAAACTGCCTGAGGAGAACCCTTTGAAGAAGCTCCCTGACTTCCCAGGCCATTAGCAGACACCTTGGAAACTTCTGACACATTAATGCTGCTGCTCCACCTCCACCCTAGTGCCCACCCCATCCCCCCCTCTCCCAGAGAAGAAAATGGGTACTTGGAGGTCATAGTGTGGGCTCCTTTTCCCTGCTTTTTCTTTTTGTTGTTGTTGTTTTCTCCATTTTTTTAATTAAGAAATTTTCTACTCACCCTACACACCACCCCCAGATCCCACCTCCTTCTGCCTCCCACCCTCAGCCCTCCCTCCCAAGCCACCCCTCATCCCCACATCCCCACATCCTTCAAAATCAAGGTCTCCCATGAGGAGTCAGCAGAGCCCAGCCCACTGAACCAAGGCAGGTCCAAGCCCTGCTACACAAGGCTGCGCAAGGTGCCACACCACAGGCACTGGGCTCCCAAAGCCTACCCATGCACCAGGGATGGATCCCAACTTCCCCCGCCCCCTGCCCGGGTATTCGAGCTAAACAACCATCTCCCATATCCCAGAGGGCCTAGTCCATTCTCATGGGGGCTCCACAGCCACTAGTCCACAGTTCATGGGCTTCCACTAACGTGGCCGGCCATCTCTGCTCTGCATGTCTTCCCGCCATGATCTCCACCTGTGGAATCCCTTCTCTCTCCCATCGACTGGATTCCCGGAGCTCAGCCTGGCGCCTGGCTGAGGATCCCTGCATCTGCCTCCATTAGTCATTGGGTAAAGGCTCTATGATAACAGTTAAGGTTTTCACTAGACCAGTCACCAGAGTAGACCAGTCCAGGCACCCCCTCTATTACTGCCAGCAGTCCAAGGTGGGCTCATCCCTGTGGATTCCTGAGAGCTTCCCCAGCACCCTGCCTCTTCCCACTTCCATGATGTCTTCATCTATCACAGTATCTCCTTCCCTGCTCTTGCACTCCGTCCCCACTCCAGCTCAACCCTCCCATTTCCCTATGTTCTCACCCCCCCATTCCCTGCCCTCCACTCCCCCCCAAATGGCAATCTTACCATAAGCAATCTACAGATTCAATGCAATTCCCATCAAAATCCCAGCACAATTCGTTACAGACCTGGAAAGAACAATACTCAACTTCATATGGAAAAAAAAACAAAAAAACAAACAAACAAAAAAAACAACCAGGATAGCTAAGAGAATCCTGTACAATTAAGCAACCTCTGGAGGGATCATGATCCCTGACTTCAAGCTCTACTATAGAGCTACAGTAATAAAACAGCTTGGTACTGGGTTCAGTGTATCTGGTTTTATGTTGAGGTCTTTGGTCCATTTGGAGTTGAGTTTTGTGCAGGATGATAAGTATGGACTTATTTGTATTTTTATAAATGCAGCCATCCATTTTGACCAGTACCATTTGTTAAAAATCAGGTGTCCATAGGTGTGTGGATTTCTGTCTGGGTCCTCAATTTGATTGCCTTGATCAACATGTCTGTTTGGGGACCAGTACACTATTTTTATTTTTTATTACTATAGCTTTGTAGTACAGTTTGAAATTGGAGATACTCATACCTCCTGCAGTTCTTTTATTGTTCAAGATTGTTACAGACAGCTGTTTTATTACTGTAGCTCTATAGATCTGTGTGATCCACTGGAGATGTGTGCAGAAGGGGAAGATCTGTGTGATCCACTGGAGATGAGTGCAGGAGGGGAAGATCTGTGTGATCCACTGGAGATGGGTGCAGGAGGGAAGGGAGGCTGCAGCAGGTATTCCGCTGCCACACTGCTGGGGATGAGACTGGAG